CCTGGACTCCTGGGTCTGAGGGAGGAGGGTTTGGGGACCTGGACTCCTGGGTCTGAGGGAGGAGGACCTGGGGGCCTGGACTCTGGGGTCTGAGGGAGGAGGGGCTGGGGATTGGGCTCTGGTCCCTGTAGGGGGACGGGGCTGGCATTACCAGAGCCCTGTTCTTGCTCCCCAGCTGGCCCCAAGCCAGTCCCCTATCCCCTCAGGCTAGTCCATCCCCCAAGCTGGTGGCCTGAGTCACCTTGGCTGGCCCCGCCGGTCTGGGGGGGTCTACGTCAGCTCTCCCCTCACTGACGCAGCCTTGGGCCCCCCACACTGACTCAGCCGGAAGCAGGCCCCCTGAGGGGCGGAGACCCAGTGGTCAGAGGCCTGGGTCCCAGCAGGAGCCGGTGCTGGGGAGGGCCCCTGGGGGGCCCTGGAAGGGGTGGCTGTGACAGGCCAGAGAGAGGGAAAGAGCTCTTACCTGAGGCGATGAGGTCATGCCTCCACCGTGGTGGCATTGCTGCCTCCACCCTGGCCTGCGGGTCCCCTCCCCCCTGAACACCTCTCCCGCCTCCACCGCTGTGCAGCAACGACCAGGGCTCTGGCCCCTGGCCCCAGTTCTGGCCACTGTCTCAGTGTCCCCACTGTCCCGTCTTCACCCCACCTTGCTCCTGCGTCTCCCTCATCCTCCCCGTCTTTCTCAAAGGCAACATCTTTTTCTCTGTGTCCCTGATGTGTTCATAAGAACTAACGAGGGGAATAAGGATGGTTAGCACTGACTTTGTGCTTCACGTGAACGAGCTCACTTTATCCTCATCGTGGCGTTTAGAGGGCTGGGGGTGCTCATTAACCCCCCCTTCACAGATGAGGAAACTAAGGCACAGAGGGGGAGAGTCGCACATGGAGGTCTCGCCTCTGTGGAGTGTTTCAGCGCCTCTTTCTCTTGGTCCTCTGTCTCCGTCTCTCTTCCTCCTTCCTGTCTCCACCTGCCTCTTCAAGAAAGGTTTTTCTGGCCGGTCGTGGTGGTTCACACCCGTAATCCCAGCACTTTGGGAGGCTGAGGTGGGCGGATGACCTGAGCTCAGGAGTTTGAGACCAGCGTGGGCAACATGGCAAAACCCTATCTCTATTAAAAACACAAAAATTAGCCAGGAGCGGTGGCAGGTGCCTGTAATCCCAGCTACTCAGGAGGCTGAGGCATGAGAATCACTTGAACCTGGGAGGCAGAGGTTACAGTAAGCTGAGATCACATCATTGCACCCCAGCCTGGGCAACAGAGCGAGACTCTGTCTCAAAAAAAAAACAAAAACGAGACCGGGCACCGTGGCTCACACCTGTAATCCCAGCACTTTGGGAGGCCGAGGCAGGCGGATCATGAGGTCAGGAGATCGAGACCAGCCTGGCCAACATGGTGAAACCCCATCTCTACTAAAAATACAAAATTAGCCCAGTGTGGTGGCGCACACCTGTAATCCCAGCTACTCGGGAGGCTGAGGCAAGAGAATCGCTTGAACCCGGGAGGCAGAGGTTACAGTGAGCTGAGATTACGCCATTGATCACGCCATTGCACTCCAGCCTGGACGACAGGGCGCGATTCAGTCCCAAAAAACAAACAAACAAAAAAATGAGAAAGGCTTTTACTCTCTGGCCCCATTGCTGAGTCCCCAACATCTCAGCATCTCAGTCTTTCTAATATCTGTCTCCCCATCTCTGTTAATGGGGCCTCTCCGTTCCTGTCATCTGCCCCGTGTCTCTTTGCCTGGTGCCTTCAGCTGCTGCGTCCTCTCTCTCAGAGTCTTGGTGTCTCTGTTCCTTTTCCCTCCGGGTTTCCCCGGTCTCCCCAAGTCCCTCCTGCTGTCTTCCTCCCGCTGTCTGATCTCGGACTCCCAGAACCTCTCCTCTGTCTCCAGGACTGGCCCTCTGATCCTTTCGCTTCTCCGGTGTGTCTCTCTGGCTGCCTCCATCTCTGTGGATCTGGGTCTCCCTGTCTCTGTCTCAGTCTCTCCTTCACTCTGTGTGTGTCTCTCTCTCTCCGTCCCTTCGACTCCCTGTTCCTCCTGCCTCCACCTCTCCAGGCCCCTGTCCTGTCCCTCCATCCGGCCTCTCTCTGCCTTTCTGTCCTCCTGCCTCCCCATCTCTCTCTGCCAGTCCTGGTCCAGCCGGACCCCCACCCACAGTCGGGCCCCAGCGCTTGAGCCTGAGTGTCTGCTCTGGCCCGTGGAGGTGGAGGGAGGGGACGCCAATGACCTCACCAGCCCCTCTCCGACCACCCCCCCCTTTCCCTTTTCAACTTTTCCAACTTTTCCTTCCGTGCCCTCCTCCGAGCGCGGCGGCGTGAGCCCTGCAAGGCAGCCGCTCCGTGTGAATGGAAAAGGCAGGCAGGGAGGGTGAGTCAGGATGTGTCAGGCCGCCCTCCCCTGCCGCCTGCCCCCCGCCC